GGGCCCTGCGCGTGGCTCCCGGGGAGGACGCCGCCCGCCTGGCGCCTGTGCCAAGGACGTACTGTTTGCCTCTGAGTAGTTCTCGTTGCCAATAAACGCTTCCCGTTGGCAGGTTGCTGGGAGCCCACAGGGCACTTATTAGAACACCGACGGGCACTGGGAACAGATCGCACGGAGGCCGCTGAGGCCTTCACCGCACACGTCGGCGGCCAAGCCGTCCAGTGGTTTCAAACCCCCCTCACCCTGAGCGCCCCGAGCTGCCTGGCGCTCCGTGTTTGGGCGGAAGGAGGAGGAGGAGGCGTGGGAAGGCCGCCTCCCGGGGGACTCGGGGAAATGTGGAAGCAGTTGTGTCTGAGGCCTCCGCCGTCGGGGGTGCAAACCTCACGGAGGGTGGCCGGCCGCTGAGGTCGCAGAGACGGAGATGCCTGGAGAGCCTTGCGCGGAGCTGAGATGGCGGCTCTGAGTCCTGTGAAGGTGGAGGGGGGCCAAGACGGCACAGCGTCTGCGTGCACGTGGGTGCCCCCTGGCAGCTGGCCCCGCGGGCTGTGATGTAGCCGGGACCTCCCCTGGGAAGGCCGAGCACGGAGCCTGGCGACCTCCCCGGAGCCTCGAGAGCTGCACGGGGCCAGGAGCAGGTGCTGGGTGTCGCCGAGATGGCCTCCGATCGGCTAATACTTTGTGACAACGGAGCGGTCGGGCCCTCGCCCAGCAGATCCCGTCTCCCTGCACCACACGCAGCCCCCTCGCAGGGCGGCCGGGGCCCCGGTGTTTATAACGGTGTGCAACCACAGTGGGCGTCTTTCACGTGCCCTTCCCCCTGCCCCCCTCCACGTACTGTTATCACGAGGAAAGCAGCTCTGTGAGGGGCAGACGGGGAGGAGTGGGTGGCGTGAAGCTGCGTGTGTGGTGAGACGCCCTGAGAGTCGCGGGACCGGCTCCACGTCGTCTGACTGGCTTCCCTCACCTTCCCCGGGCGGCAAGAGTGTCCAGCCAACGGCTCCTAAACCGCACTGTCCCCAAAATGTGTCTCTGGTGCCACAAATAAAAGCTCCTGAAATCGTAGCTGCGGTGTGGGTTTCGTGAGCTCCGGCTGCCGGGGGTTTGGATAGCCTGTCCCCAGAACCGCAGAAACTCACGTGTTCCATCCACAGGTGTTCCATTCAAAGCTGGTGCACCCCATGCTGGTGAACCCCAAATCTGGCTCCTCCCTCGTCACAGCCCAGCGGGCGACATCGCCAAGAAGGAAGTATTCCCATCTCAGGAGACTGAGGCCGGACGCTTTTCTTTTTCCCCTGATATTTTTATTGATTTCAAGAGAGAGAAATGGAGAGGAAGAGAAAGAGAAACATCCATGTGAGAGCAACACACCGCTGGCTGCCTCCTGCACATCCCTCCCCGGGTCGAGCCTGCACCCAGGCCAGTACCTGCCGCTCAAACAGGCCATGTTTCGGTGCCTGGGGCACACCCAGCCACTGAGCCACACCAGCTGGGGCCCCAAAGCACGCTGATGGTTGTCACAGACGGGAAGTGTCCGCCCTTGTTCCCCGGGCACCAATGGAGAAAGGGTCCCCTAGGACAGACAGCATCCCTCGCACGGGGTCCATGGCCCCGAGTCCGCAGGTCTGGGCACAGGGACGCGGGGGCCCTGTGGCTGGAGCCCCAGAGCCTGGACTCCCCCGAGAACACAGTGCAGCCGGCCCGTGACCTGGTGTCCGGCGAGGACGGCCGG